TTTTTTTTTCTTGTATTCCCAGTACCTGGCACATAGTAGGTTCTTCATAAATGTTTATTGATTATTGACTGACTCTGACTCAGAAGCTGTGAATGCCTCGCTGCACCAAGCAGCTAGAGATTTCTCTTTTGATAATAATAATAGCTAACATTTATATAAGGCTTTGTCACTACAAGGTGTTTTCATGTGAGTCATCTTGTTTGATCTTTACAGCATGATGTAGTAGAAAGTAGATTTTGGAGCCCAGAATTAAGATGGGCTTTATTTATTTTATTTAGAACCTAATACAATGGAATTTCTTTTATATTTTATTGATGCCTTATTGTTTTTTTCAGAGAGGTGTAATGGATGAAGAACTGGCCTTGAAGCTAAAGAGGGCCTCTCAGGCCTTTGGACAATTATCTAAGCCTATTAGCTGCAGTGAAGTTGACACCCTGTATTGGTAAAGGGAGTTTCCTCATCTGGGATTTCCAATGAAATTGTAATCACAGGTCCAATCTCTATCCCCTTTGTTTCAACATTCCAGTCAATTCCAGATATATTTCTACCTCCCATTCCCATCCCTCCACCATCTTCCTGTGAATCTTCCTATAGGATCAGAGAATTTAGACCTGAAAGGGTCCCTAGAGATCAATGAGTCTAATCTACTAATTTTAAAGATAAGAAAACTGAGGTCCAAGGCCATGTGACTTGTGCAAAGTGACCGTCCACAGGAAGTACATAGCAGAGCCAGAATTTGAACCCAGGTGTTCTGACTTCAAATTCAGTGTGTCTCCCTTTCCCTTGCTGTCTTTTAATGATTCTGAAGTTCATTTCTGCTCTTCATTTCCTGTATGCCCTTGAGCAAATCACTTAACCTCTCTGGGTCTCAGCTCCCTAATGTGCTGGATCTGATGACCTCTAAGGTCCCTTCAAACTCTTAACCTATGACCCAGTAAAACACTCCATGAAGTCACAGATTTACAGACTATCGGAAGGAAGGGACATCAAAGGCCACTTATTTCAACTTATCTCCAAACAAGCATCCTTTCTGTATCACATCTAGCCAGTGGTTATCCAGACATTAACTTGGAGATTCTCCAAGGAAGGGGAATCCACTATTTACCTCTTCAGTTCACCAACCTTGTATTTCTCTATTTGTTAAGCAGTCTTCCCTCCCTACATCCCCTTGATATTAAGCTTGAATTTGCCTCTTTATAAAAGTTTTAGCCTTTGTCCCTATTGCTACCCTCTGGAGACAAAGTAGAACTAATCTAATCTAGACTGAGACAGCTAGGTGGCACAGTGGATAGAGTGCTGAGCCTGGAGGCAGGAAGGTCTGAGTTCCAATCCAGCTTCAGACACTTACTAGCTGTATGGCCACAGACAAGCCACTTAACCTCTGTCTGCCTCAGTTTCCTCAACTATAAAAAAGGGACAATAATAGCACCTATTTTGTAGAGTTGTTGTGAGGGTCAAATGAAATAATATTTGTAAAGCACCTACCATAGTTCCCAGGACGTAGTGGGTGCTTCATAAATGTTTGTCTCCTTCCTTCGTCTTCTACATGAAAGATCTTCAATTACTTATAGACAGCTATCATACTCTCCTCCCTTTAGGTAATCTCTGTAAACGTTGCTAATTTCTTTATCTGATCCTCATATGGCCAGAACTAGGGGTCACCTGGTTGCCCTTCTCTGGACATTCTCCCCTTTGTCAATGTCCTTCTTTAATTGGATTGCCCAGAATTGAACACAATATTACAGATTTGGTCTATAAATGGAGTACAGTATACTTCTCCTAATGCAGCCTGAGACTACATTAGCTTTCCTGGAAGTTGGTCTTATGAGCTTTTTAATTCTCATTTTGCAAAAGAGGAAACTGAGGTTCAGTGAGATAAAATCACTATCCAAGGTCATATAGCTAGTAAATTACATAGCTGGGACTGGAACTCAGGTTTTCTTTCTTTTTTTAAAAAAAATGATTGATATTTTTATTTTTACATTGTCTTCCTTTCCATGTATACCTGACCTCACTCCTCTATCCATAGAATCATTCCTTATTACAAAGAATAAAGAGAAGTAAGAGAAATAAATAAAATAAAAAATAAAAATAAGAGAAAAAATAGTTCAGAAAAACCAACTAACACATCATTGGAGTCTGAGATCATATATAAAGTTAAGAGGGGAGGAAGGTACATTTTCTCAGATCTTCTTCAGAGTCAAGCTTGGTTATCATCATTGTACAGTATTTTCTCTCTCTCTCTCTCTCTCTCTCTCTCTCTCTCTCTCTCTCTCTCTCTCTCTCTCTCTCTCTCTCTCCTCTTTCTTTCTCTCTCTTTCAATTTCCATGATTGTTGTCATTGTGTATATTGTTTTCCTGGTGATACTTACCTCATTTTGTATTTGCTCATATAAGTCTTCCCATGCTTCTCCACATCCTTCATGGTCATAGTTTTTATGGGTAGAACTCAGGTTTTCAACTCCTACAGGGAAAAACTGGCCAAAGTATATGAAAATGAAAGTCATAATACTTTGTAATAACTGCCCAAAGAAGCTAGATTTCAAAGAGTATGGTGAGGTTGAAAGGGACTGCTTGAAGAATCCAGGAATGGATATTCTATTCTCTTGTGAGGATGTTGCTTTTCAGGTTTACAGCAGTTAATTCACCACTCCTCAGCAATGGAATCATAGAGCCATCATTCTCTTTCCAGATGTCCACTTCATGGTTGGCTGTTGACAACCCTCTGACTTTCCCCAATGTCCTAGGCACCAAACACAATAGTCATGGCTCCAGGCTTCCACCCTCTGAGAGTTTCTAAACTCAAATGATATGATCCTATATCATTTAGTCCCAACTGCTGCATATTGTCCAAGTATTTGATGCTCCCTTAAGTTTTACCATCATCTTGGCTTCTTCCCTCCCACCCACAGAAGGACTGAAGGATCAAGGATATTTTCAGAAGCTGACATAAGAAATAGGGTTTCATTTTAACAGTGCCTCAAACTTCTACTTCAGGTTCTCTTCCTGGTGCTGAGTTAAAAACTGTTCACAGCAATGCTCAGACATCTCCTCTCCCTCCTCCATCAATTGAATCCCTCCCCCTTTTAGTCTGGATTTACCACATATCCTCATATTTTATTGAGAACAAGAACAACTTACTTAAAATAGAAAGGACTGTGATAGAAAGAAAGTATCGGGTGAAATAGGATAAAATACCTCAAGCAATTACTTCTCCAAGCTTCCTTTTCCTCTAAATTCCAACTGAACCAAGTTAGCCAATGCCATGAGTTCCTTGCTCATGCTCCCCAATACTGCTTCATTTCATGGCACTATGAACTGGGTTAACAGACCACTTGTAAGGCATATCAATCAGAAGAAAAGGTGGCTAGGTGGCACCATAGTGCACAGACTGCTGGGCCTGGAGTTAGGAAGAATTGAATTCAAATCCAGCCTCAGACACTTACTATCTGGGCAAGTCATTTAACCTTTATTTGCCTCTGTTCCTCATTTGTAAAAGGGGGATAATAATAGCACCTACCTCTCAGAGTTGTTATGAGGATTAAATGAGATAATAATTGTAAAGTGCTCAGCACAGTGCTGCATATATGTGTTATATATATGTGCTATAGAAATGTTAGCTGTGATGATGATGATGATGAATACTTAACATGCTGTACTCTGATAGCAGACCCTATGGTGTCTCTTACACTGGATGTCTGAGGCTCCCAGAGTCCTGCAGTTGTAGCATACCATAGGGAGGGAGAAGTATCCAGTGTTACATGGCTAATTTAACTCCTCAGGCTTACATTGGTCAAAGGAAAAAAAAAGCAGGAAAATCGGTCCAGCGTGAAGTGACTATCAACCGTTAAGTCTATCACTAGTAGGAATGAGAAAATATGGATAGGTAAAAGCAGGCAGGACATCTCTGCTATGACAGTCATCCATCTCTCCCTCTCTCTCTCTTTCCTGCTGTATCTTAACCTTGGCATTTCCTACTCCTGCATCTTCCCACATGAGCTTGTCCCAGTTCAGCAGACCCACCTTGTCTCTTGTGGGCACCGTAATTGTGCCAGACTCATCTGGTGGGACACAGAGATTAGAGTAACCTAGGGGATGGGTCTATTCTGACACATATACTTCCATCATATACTCCTTAAAAACTCATATCTGTTGAAGGTTCTCTGTGATTCCAAAGAGCAGAACCAAAGGCTCTACTAGATTCCGAGCTCTAGGTGTGCAAGAAGAATTACAGAGGCTGTTGCAGAGAACCTCTGCTCTCATAGGGCCTTAATATCAGGCAGGAAAGGTGTATCTGTGGATTCAGCACCCCCAATTGGGGCAGAATTTCTTCATGGGCTAAGGAAGTCTTTTTTGACCTCCCTTATCCTCAAGAGGGTACCAAAATGCAATTTCCTTCTCATCTGGATCCTTTCTATCATCAGCTGGTTCTAAAAGTCTATTTGCAATGGGTATTGCTGGGTTGACTCTGCATTGTTCTTCTCCTGATCACCAGGAAGTCCAACTCAGTTCCCCCCCAGCAGCAGGTGGCTGCAGTGTATTGTCTTTGTAGGGCTCAAGAACATTTTGTAGACTGGGAAATTGTCCAATCTTTCAACCATTTGGATGGATGTGACTCACCACTGGTATATCTCATGTTTTCTTTACACAAGAAGATTCCTTAGCAAGACTCTATGCTCTGGCTGGAATGCTTAATGGCTATAGCAGTAGGGTAGTCGTATGACCACTAGCCTTAGAAAAAGGAGAAATCTGGCTACAGATCTTGCCTTTGATACTTCTTAGCTGGGTGACCTTCGGTGAGTCATTTGGCTTCTGTGAAGCTTCAGTCTCCCCGTCTATAAAAAAGGAGGTAACCTATAGTGCCTACCATACAGGGTTGTTGTAGGATGAGAAGATATAGGTTAGGGCAAGGGCCTGGACTCTACATGAGATAATGTATGTATGAAGCTAAAGCCAGATATTGTTATTTATCAACAAACATTTATTTATGGCTTTTTGTATGCCAGGTCCTGTACCAGGCTGCAAGGCTAGATACCAAGACAGAAAAGAAGCAACCACGGCACTCAAGGAGCTTACATTCCATCACAGAGACAATATATATATATATATATACATAGGATGTGTGTATGCCGAAGAAATACATCATGTCCCAAAAGTCTTAGTGCGGTTTTATGCTATTAACATTTTATTAGCTTTTCAAGCTTGAATAGCTTAAAACCGCACTAAGATTTTTGGGACACCCTGTATAAGGTTTTGTTTTTCAGGAGGAAGGCATCGGCAGCTAGCAGGATAAAGACGGGCTTCACACAGAAGGCGTTGCTCAAGCTGAACTTGGAAGGAAACTCTTCATAGAGATCTGTATGCTGAAGATACAATATGACAGAAAAACAATTAGAACTATCCCAAAATGGGATGGATTAGCTCTGGGTGTGTGTCTGAAAACCTTCAAGGAGAGGCTGGGTGACCACTTGTTGGTGATTTCTGACATCCTTTTCAACACGAATCCTCTAATGTTATGATTCTTTGAGGTGGGGATTCCAGAGGGGATTTCTGGCACATCTGGACCTTTAGAGTCATCTTCAGAAGCCAGGGGAAGGATTGAAGATTCTTCCCTTTTGCAGGGAAGTCCCCAGAAGGAAGCTTTGGAGTGTCTCAGAGTATTTGTTTTTCCAAAGCCAAATGTAATTGATATTCTGATTACATGGCACCCTATTCTTCTCTCTTTTAGGTAGATAAACCAAAGCAGGGGTTGTGTTCCCAGAGTGAACTCGAATTGCATTTCTTTTATTTAAAAATATGTATTTCAGTTTATTTCATTAAGTATTTTCTACTTACATGTAAAAGTTTTTTTAAATATTCATTTTTTAAAATGCTGAGTTCCAAATCTCTCCCTCTCTCAGTTCCAAATCTCTCCCTCTCTCTTGCCCCTCCCTCACTCTTCAAGAAAGCAAGCAATACAATATCAATTTTACATGTGAACTCATGCTTGCATTTCTTTTAAGGGAGGGTCCTTAACCTTTTGTGAATGAATGAGTGTGAGTGCGTGTATATGCATGCTATGGGTTGCATACTTTGGAAATCTGTTGAAGCCTATGGACCCCTTCTCAGCAAAATGTTTTCAGTGCATAAAATAAAATGCATAGGCTTATAAAAGAAACTAATTATGTTGAAATAAAGATGTATTTTATTTCCTATCCAAATTCATGGACCCCTTGAAATTTATCCACAGACTCCTCTGGTTAAGAAAACTTATTTTTAAAACCATGTGTGGTACAAATGACAGGGACCTTGGGTTTGGAGTTACAGGACTTGGGTTTGAATTTTGGTTTTGCTACATATTATCTGGTGATCTTAGGCAATAATCACATTAGCTGACATTTATATTTATGGCCAAATTGCTTAAACTTTCTGGATCTCAGTTTCCTCATCTGTGAAATGGGCCATTCACAATTTGACTCCAGTCTACATTTCTAGTCTTTTAAAAAAAGTTTATTGATTTTTTTTACATCATCTAAACTTCCCATTCTATTTCTCTCCTCCAGAGTTATCCTTTATAACTTATAATTTTTTTTAAATATAAGAAAGAAAAAAAATCTACAAAACTGATCAACACATCAAAAAAAAAAAATCAAACCTGACAATGTATGACATGGCTCCACACATGCAGGCCTTTCCCCTCCAAGAGTGAGGGGAATTATCTTCTCATGTCTCTTCTTTGGAGTCAGGCTTGTTCTTCACAATTTTTCAGCATTTACCTTTCTAGTCTTATTATACAATACTCCCCTTCTCACACCATATGGTCTATCCAAACAGATCTTACTGTTCCTTACGCACAGAATTCCACCTCTCATCTCCTTTGCACAGTCTGTCCCTCCTTACTCCTGCCCTTATGTTTTCTTCAAGGCTCAGCTACTTTTCCTTATTCTCACTACTTTTGTCTCACCGCCCCCCCCATCATTACCTGGAATTTTTTTTAATGTTTTTTTTCTACCTGCATATTCATATGTGAATGTGTATACATGTATAAATACATGTTGTCTGATAGAATGTAAGCTCCTTGAGGTCAGAGACTGTTCCATTTTTGTCTTCATATCACCAATGCCTAGCACAGTGCCTGACATAGCAGACTCTTAATGAATGCTTGTGGGTTGATTGATTAATTTTAGCTCCAAATCCTGTGATCCCGGATCATTGGCACTTGCTGTGGCATTAATATCTGGTAGGAGGAAGTCCATTAAGGGGGTGGGAACTGGTGGGGGAGGCAACTGAGGTGAGGAGGGGAGCCCCTGGCTGTCTGAGGTGAAGCCAAGAGGTTCTTTAGTGCCTTAATTAGCTTTTGATTCTTAATGAGTCACCTGGCTTCCTCCCAGCTGAGATATCAACAGCTCCCCTGAAGAAGAGGCCCTAGGAGGAGTTTGTGTTCCAGAGGTTGGAGAGGACTGAGGCACCACTCCAGATAGAGTAAGGATCCTGTTCCTACAGTTCTGGCTAGGCTTCCTAGCTATTCTCCCAGAGTAACAAACTCAAATTCAAATGGTATGTTTGTTTGCAAATTATATTACTAATCTATTGGTACTGTCACTACCTGAGTCAGATTCTTTTCTTGAAGACTTGTTGATCAGAATCCACAGACTGACCAATCGACAGGAAAATGCACAATGTGGTTTGATGGGTGTTGGAGGCAGCTCTGACGGCAGCACTGTCTTAGCTCAGGGTTCAATACTGGGAGGAAATGAGGCACTTGAAAGTCATTGAACAGTTAACAAAAGGAGGTTTACTTTGTTCTAACAGAGCAAGAAGATGCAACGAGGACACAGTCGCCCTCAGCTTTTCTGCACATTTCTCATCTCCACATGGAAATGTGTTCGGTCATAAAAGCAGGCTATGCTAACTCGCATGGTCTTCAGAAAACCATCAGATTGGAGTGGCCTTATCCACCCACGGCTGGGATGTTTTATGCCTTTAGAGACCGATAAATGGTGAAGGAAGCTGGGGCTAGTCAGGAACTGGGGCCTGCTTTGTCTCCCTTTAGGAAAAGCTAATCTCTGTCTAAGGAAGGAAGGAGAGGCCTGGGCCTGACCCATGTGGTGGCTAGGGACAAAGAAGCTGTGTCAGTAACACGTTGGTAAATATTACTCTTATCACAAGGGGTATTTACAGCAAGCTTCCCACACTGAGCTCTCTGCTCTAGAGTACCTTGCAGGCTTAGCGAAGTGAAAATTCCATTTCCTCATAGTTCTCTCTTATTCTCACTGACAGAGAGCAAGCTATGTTGGGATGATGGATTGAGAGCTTGAAGGGGATTGCAGAGGCCATTAGGTCCAGCCCCCTTATTTTAAAGATGAGGAAACTGAGGCCCAGAGAGGTTATGACTTGCCCAAGGTCACACATGGAATAAGCAACAGAGTCTGGATTTGAACCTAGGTCCTCGGATTCTAAATTCAGTGCTCTTTTCTTCTTCTGTGCTATACTACCTCCCTTAGTAACATTACCAAATGAGATAATATGTAAGAAAAATTGCTTAAGTGCCTGGCACATAGGTGCTATATAAATGATCATCCCTTTTGCCCTTCCCTAAGCCAAAAAACCTGACTTTGTAGGAGCCCTGAAGTTAATATAATATTTTAATATACTTATATATCCTCACAACAACCCTGAGAGTTAGGTAGTGAACATACAATATTATCATTCCCATTTTACAGATGAGAAAACGACTTGAAAAGCACAGTGAGTTGACTAAAATAACATGGCAAAGTGTGGTAAAGCTAGAAATGAAGATGAGAGAGGGAAAAGGAGGGTCTGCTAGGGAGAACAGTAGCAAGGCATCCCGGGGAAGAAGTAGGACACTGCAGGGTTTTCCTTCATGTTAGTCTGGGAAGATGGAGCAGAAAGAGACTGAGAGACTGTTAGTTTCCCTGGTAGTGTCCTAGAGCTGGAAGAGCCATGAGAATCAGTCAGAAATTGGGAAAAGAAAAAAAGAGATATGTGCTACCCCTTCAGAGGGTAGGGAGCAGAAGGCCTGGGGGTGGAGAGTAGGGAAAGGCCTCCAGGAGAGGAGCCTTCGCGAGAAAGAAGATCATCCCGGCTTGGGGTGTTTACGTGCAGCTTAGGGATTAATGCTTACTCATTCAAGGATTCCTGTTTTGTTTTCTTCCTTTGAATAATGACTTTCTTCTGTAATATTGTGAGCCATGTCCTTGAAAGTGGCAAGTTGATTTCAGGATAAGGAGAGAGAGCAGTGTGTGTGATGTACTATGCATACATTTTCCCAAATTTCCTGCATAGGAAAGAAATGATCTCAAAGTGTACCTAGGAAATTTGGACCATGAAGCAGTCTCTGACACAAGGTTTATGTGTATATTCAGATATATATATGTGTATATATACATACGTACATATATGTATGTACATATGTATATATACACACGTGTATATGTGTATATATATACACACATACATACATGTGTACATATACACATGTATATATGTGTGTGTGTACACACACACACACACACACACACACACACACACACACAGGGGTGGGGGGGTGGAGAGAGAGATGATAGACACTTTATGGAACCTTGACCTCATTTCTGTGAATCCTTTCCCCAGCACCGTAGACCTTTATTCACAGGCCTTCATTCTGTTTCCCTCTTGGCTGTGTCCTTCCATAAATCCTCCACAGTCGCTCTCTCCAAAGTGCTGGGGGCCTCCTTCTATCTCTTTTAGCACCACATGGAGACTGATGGAGCACATGGACTGTCTAGACGCTATTCTTCGATGTCACTACATGACTGGCCTACCTCCTTTTATGGTCTCACATTCCTTGATGTTATTTATACTGCTTCTGGTAATCACGAGTAATGCGTTGTAGCCTCTTTGTACTCACTATAATTCATGTATAAATATGTGCACACACACTTATATTTATACAGATCTGTATACGTGTTTGTACGCATTTACACACATACACACATATGGCGGCTAGATAGCTCAGTGGCTAGCGCGCTGAGCCTGGAGTCGGGAAGAGGTGAGTTTAGATCCAATCTCAGATACTTACTGGCTGGGTGACCCTGGGCAGGTCATCTAACCTCTGTTAGCTTTAATCTACTGCAGAAGGAGATGCAAACCACTCCAGTTTCTTTACCAAGAAAACCCCATGAACAGTATTGGTATGTTATGGTCCACAGGGTCATGAAGAGTTGGACAAGATTGAACAATAACAACATGTATTTATATACATATATAATTTCTCTCTATATACACACATGTGTATGCATATATACACATACATATACAATTTCTATATGCACATGTATTTATACAAAAATACACAGATATGCACATATGATGCATGGGACAC